TCTAGGATATCACAGAAAATACTTTGGCCTTTCACTTTTATTTCTGTGTCTTTGATACTAAAAATTAGAAATGACATTTGAAACCTTTTTCAGAAGGACAAACCAACTATTTAAGTAGAAGGTTTACTGTTTCAAATTTACTAGTATTTTGAAATTCAACATTAGATCCAAGCTTGTTCAGTGATCTGCCCCATCCATTCTCCCTGCAAAAAAATCCCTCAATGCCTTCTGAATTTCTGATTCATCATTGCCAATTAGAAATGAAGCATTTTCATTTTTTTTTTAAATTGTATTTATTGAGACAAGAGTCTCACTTGGTCACCCTTGGTAGAGTGCCATGGCATCTTAGCTCACAGCAACCTCAAACTCTTGGGTTCAAGCGATCCTTTTGCCACAGCCTCCCAGGTAGCTGGGCCTACAGGCACCTGCTATAATGCCCAGCTATTTTTTAGAGACAGGGTCTCACTCTGGCTCAGGCTGGTCTCAAACCCATGAGCTCAGGCAATCCATCTCCCTTGGCCTCCCAAATACTGGGATTATAGGCGTGAGCTACCACATTTCAATTTTCAATTTTTAAAATGTGAATAACTCACATACCAGGCTTTTTGAGATGCCCAGTGGGGCCCGTTATAACTGTCCCACAGCCCACACCAAATGCAGTGATGAAATGAGAGGATGGGGAGGTGTTGCTGTCTTCTAACCTGCAGCTGTGAGCACAGCCTATCTCTTAGCACTAGTTTGTGAAGCAGGGACTCCCTGTTTGAAGGGATCAGGCTATGGAGTACAGCATGAAGAGTCACTGGAAAAGTCTCCATTTCTTTGGATGACTGTCCTGAGTTAAAAGGCCCAACGGTTGGCATTTTTGCAGCTTGGGCTGGGGGCCTCTAAATTTGGGTTGCTGGAGAAGGCACTGTCAGCCCTGGCCAAGAGCAGGAGGGCCGCCAGTATAATAAAGGAAGGGCAAAAGTAGAGGCCTGTATTGGTAGGAGGCCAGGCCTCAGGCTTGGGCAGGCTCCTTTGAAGTGAGAGCCCACCTGGGCGCTGAGGAGGACTAGCTGAGCTCCATTGAGTCCATGCTGTGGGCTGAAGCAGAATCCTTCTGGATGCTTTCAAAGAGGGTGGCAAGTTCAGGGTTGGACCGGATTTGGGAAGAGAAGTCAGCCATGATGGGGCTCTTCCCTGCTTCAGGGATGGTCAGCAAGGCGGCCACTGCCCTCATGGCAGAGCGCCTCAGTTCATCTTGTTTCTCAAATTCCTGCTTCACGGAACCAGCTTTGACCTAAAGTGGGAAATGATGGAAGAAACAGCTGTTCTGTGTTGAGCCTGGCCTGCACCACTGCCTCTCACTGGTCTTGGGCTTCCTCTCTGGCCCCTGTGGTCTTCCCCACCTTAAGTCCCAGCCTGCAACTCCCCCGCTCCAAGGTCTCCAGAGCTATTTCTTCAACTCCACCTTTGGACTTTCCCACAGTCTGGTTCTCTGCCCTTTCAAATCAGCTTCAGTGTTTCCTGAGGAGCTTCTGACCCATCTAAACAGCCCATCTTTATTTTTGTTACAGGCCAGTGGTGGCTCATGCCTGTAATCCCAGCACTTTAGGAGGCCAAGTGGGAGGACTACTTGAGGCCATCAGTTCAAGACCAGCCTGGGCAACGCAGTGAGACCTCATCTCAACAACAGCAACAACAAAATGAAAATTAGTCAGGGATGGTGGAATGCACTTGAAGCTTGAGCCCAGAAGTTTTGAGGCTTCAGTGGGATCATGCCACTACACTCCAGCCTGGATGACAGAGTAAGACCTTGTTTCTAAAAATAGTAATAATAATAACAACTAGATAGTGACAAGTACTGTATTCACTTGGTTATCTCCTCCCATGGACAGCAGGGATCCAGCCTACAACCATGTGTGAAATCGGCTCTGGGCACCCTAGACTAGACTGAAAGAATGGAGAGTGACAGTCCTCTAGCAGCCTCTCAACACAGGCAAGTCCCTGCCACACAATCCCGTCTACAGATGGAGTGGGAGAGTAAACATCCAGAACTGCCTCCTATGTGTCTGCTCTTCCTCTCTCACCACCTTCCACTTAAACAGAAAATCTCTGTGAATAAGGTTCAAATCCCTTACGCTGGGCTCTTCCTAAAGAACTCCGGGTAAGAGCTCAGCATTGGGGTTGGAAAGTCCTGACCCCAGTGACTGTGCCTCCAGGAGCTGTGCTTCAGGTACTCACCTCTGTGAGCCTCACCAACTCACCTCTGTGAGCCTCCCCAACTATAAATAAGAACCTCCTCTTCACAGGGTTGCTACGAGGATTAAATGACTCAACACAGGTCCATACTCTCTTCTCTGAAACCCTTGGGACCAGATGTGCTTCGGAATCCAGGATTCCAAAAGCCTTTTGTTAGAAAGGTAACACTGTGCAGATGACATTCCCAGTGGGATCTAGTACCATACCCTGTGTTCAAGTTCATTATTATTTT